TGCACACGCACCGCGGTGGCGCGCAGACAGGCCGCTAAGCCGCTACCGTTGATGCCGAATGTCGCTGGGGTTAGGATGCGTGGGCGGTGAAGGCAACAAGATGCCCACAGAGTGTTCCCATGCATTTAATTGGCCCCAACGCTGGGGAGGCAGGCAGAAAGGAGGGTGCAGGGGAGGGGGGTGCAGTACTGAAGCCTACAGCTCAGGAAGAGTAATGGAGGGCTAATGTAATCTCATCCATCAATACCTCCCACCTTATGTCTTATCCAAGGGCTCTCCTGAGTGCAGTTGGGTGGGAGCCCAAGAAGGATGGACCTGGGGGGGGGGGGAGGAGGCTGCCCTGGTGTCTCCCCCGCCCACTCAGACAAACCAGAAGTAACCCTGCCCACCGCTGGCCAGCCTGTAGTGACTCTGGCCAAGTGTGACTGCCTGCTCTGGCGGTTTGTTCTGGCAGTGCAGATGCATACACTCACAGACTGGTCACAGACTGGTCACAGACTGGTCTCTTGGAGGGAGCCTTGAATGTGCACCAGTCGTGTGGTCAGTTGAGGTCATCAGGCAGTGAAGTCGGTGTCTCCTTGCCTAGCTCTCTCTCTTTCAAACACACACATACCACACACATACACACACAAACACACACACACAGATCGGTAATCATATCTTTGTGGGGACCGCTCATTAATTTCTATGTCAAAAATGCTAATGCTAACTTTAACAACCGTAACCCCTACCCTGCCCTAACCATAAGCATAAGTAACCAAACAGAATACAAGAGTTTTTGCATTTTTTGTTTTCTGATTGCAGTCACAGACTTTTAGAAAATTGAGTTTCCTGGCCCCATAACATCAAAAAACAGGTATTCATCATATTATGGGGACATTTGGTCCCCACACAGTAAGGTATATCTGGACTACATACATACACACACACACACGTGCACATTAGCACTTACTAGCAGTCTATCAGCACTCCCAGCATGTCCCATCCCAGCACTCCCAACATGCCCCATCCCAGCACTCCCAACATGCCCCATCCCAGCACTCCCAACATGCCCCATCCCAGCACTCCCAGCATGTCCCATCCCAGCACTCCCAACATGCCCCATCCCAGCACTCCCAACAAGTCCCATCCCAGCACTCCCAACATGCCCCATCCCAGCACTCCCAGCA